AGGAGTGGACACATAATCATTCATTAAATTATTTCGAGAGTATAATAATATTTTATAATTTTAGTAAAACAGTCTTAAAATGTTACATTTAATATTCTAAGAATATGCCTAAAATATTACTTAATATTAAACAATATGCGTCTATAGGGCTAGATAGTACTTAGGAAACGAATGTAATCTTATTTTTTCTCTAATTACAATTAAATACGTAATTAAATTAGAATTATAACTATATAATTATTTGTATGTATTAATAACTGTTTGATGTCAAAATTATAATCTAAAAAAATAATATAATCGCTTACAGCATATGTCGATAATAAAAAAGACATATCAAAGTGGCGCAGTGGATTGGTTGTGAGATTCATCTTCCTGAGGAACCCGAGTTCAAAACCTATCAATGAGCGCTAAGCATCAAATAACTGTGAAGAGTTAGTAATATAAAAAAAAATTAATAAGTAAAAATTCTTAATAAAAATTTGTCCTAAAACTTTCAGGATGTACTTATGAAAAAAAATAACTTATCTTATTTTGTATCTAATTATAGCTAGATAGATGCTAAATAATATTTAGAAAGTTTTTTTCTTATGTCATTATTTTACAACCTTTCTTAGCTTTAATCATTAGTTGATTATTTATATATAGTCTACTAAAAAAGTGAGCGTTATTAGCACGTCGCATTACTTAGAAAAACTAAATAATAGTGATAACGCAACTTTACTAACTCATGACTAGTTAATCTAGTTAACCACTAGATTTAATTTCTACACAGGATAAGTTTAAAATGTTATATTAAAATGGACAATATAATAATACGACAATATAATATTACGAAATCGAATTTAATTAATATGACAAATTAAAATGACAAGAAGTTTGAAACGGTAATTCACAATTTCACAATCATTGTACCAACATTGATTAAGTATTACTCATTAAGCGCTTTAAGAATAACAGAATTAATCTGCTCATTATACAGGGTGAATCAGAATCGTTGAACCAACTTCTTACTCTATAAGAAAATTATCGACTGCACGCACGTTATAATTCAATTAGATATGAAGTCGATAATTTTCTCACATAGGGTAAAAAGTTGGTACAACGACTATGATTCACTCAGTATATACATACATACTACATAACTTTTTGGAATCATCTACGTTCAGTGCTTGTAATATTGCGATATTTTAATAGTCTGGAAATTGTCGATTATACAGTCCGAAAAAGAGTACATATCTTTTTTATGAGACTCTGTATCTATAACAATAAATTTTTGAAATTTTAATTGTTTTAGCAATTTTAACTTAATATGACAAGAAAAAAATGGAAGGTAAGACTGATGTCATAAAAATGAATATTTAGACCAAAGTTCGAACAGAAAAGTTATCTGCTTACTTAATGCAATTTCCTTTGGAGTTCCTTCAACATATATGCGCAATTTTTTTGTTAAAGATTGATATGTGTACTCTTTCAAAAATTTCATCAGACTATTCATATTTATGTTCTCTATTGCAAGCGCTTCACTTTCATATCTGTGAAATACATATTGCTGCTTCGTGATCTCACTCCAGTTTCTGTTTACTTCGTTTTTTAAAATCTTTGCATCATCAGGTTGCTTTAAAATTCTCAGACTTTCTTTGACATGATCTAATTTGCCTTCTAAGAATTGTGGTAACTTGATGCGAAACGATCTCAGAAAGTTCTCGATCAGATAATCAACATATTCGAATGTGTATTTATTTTCCTGAATAGAAACAGTAATAGAAAATCCCAATATTTTGTTGATATCTGTACGGTCACACGAAACGTTACTAAATCCTATAGTTCGGAACTCATTTATTAACCATTCTTTCATTATCATCTAAAAGATTATTATTTAACAGATGAGATGGGCAAATAAAATCAATCACAGTAATAAAAAATGTTATTCACATTTCATTTACTTTTAAAAGTAAATAAATATAAATTGAAGGTCTATGTATTTAAATATATAAAACAATATTATTAAATACTTACGAGTATTAAATCGATTAAGACCGATGATTCAATTGTAGCAATACCGATTTGATAATAATATGTTACTACAGAGTCGACACATGTACGGTTAATATTTTTCAATTTGTAACAATTAAATTTTGTTTGGAGTCTGGATATTACTGCGACTCTAATAAATTGTTCCGTAATATTACTAAAGTTAAGACAATTAATTCGTGTGATGAATGATATTATAATTCCGATCGTACAGCCTTTCATTATATTGCCTTGC